CAAGGACAAAATCTGGCTTGAGATAACCACAATCTCCACCATGTAACCTATCCACTCAAGTTGCCCCCAGGGCACATCTCCAATGGTAAAAGGGGAGGGTGAAGAAATCCAACTTTGCTTGACACTGCTGCGTCAAAGGTTCGAATTCTGAAATATGGATTTGGCTCTTGGGTAAGTGCAAGTGTACAAGCAGCCTTTCACCCTGTACCCTTGGAGGCATAACCTGCGATTTACCTCCCTCACAATACTCCAGGACAGAGGCGGTGGGGGACCCTTAAGGTTGGGGTTCAACCTTTCACTCAAGCAGACGGTGGGTGGCCAACAGGTAGTCATGTCACTACTATAAATCTCATACGATCTTTCTGACAGCTAAAGGAAGATTTTGCGTCGTCTTCTTTTTCTTAAGTTGAATTTGAATTTTTTCAAAAACACTCCCAACCCCCAACAACTTGGCATTAATCATAATCTGAATTGCCAACACTTTAGACCTAATAAATTCTAATTTTGACATTTCGTCACAAAATCATTTATTTCAAAATTAAACAATGATATCAACCTAATTCCTATCAGCCCAAAGACTCAAATCCAAAACTGTATTTCTATGTTTTCCATACATGTTTCTTGAAACATACCAACTCAAATAATACCAGGCATAAAAGCACGAGGAAATTAATAATAAAGCACCTAAGTCATATATACAATGCAAATGAATACATGTAACACCAAAATATGTAACACCACGTACATCAATAACTTAGAAACTAAAACATGACCCTTGAGATAGAACATTAAAATAGCCGAACTAACAACATCTAAATATGATTTCAATATTATACAGAACACCAAACACAATACCAATATTTATATCAAAATCCCAAATGTTTGCTAGTCAAATATCAAAATACTCAAAGTACTACTCTTCCTAAATCAGTACTACTAACGCCCTAAAATAAATATATTATCACTCCTCCTTTTTGTCATGACTAACAAAGGAAAATAAGCAACATAATCACTAATAACAAAGGGTGAATGCACTACTTCTATAACTTCATGTCATGAAAACTCAAATCAAGTCATCACAGGAATAATTATTTCATTACTTATACAAGTATAACTCATGAACAATGAACTCTTTCCATACAACTTGTTATAAACTTATATGAAGTAAATTGTTTAAGAAACTCATGTGCTAAAAGTGTTACTAATATCCTGTGAGCAAGACTCAAAGCCTTAAATTTGTGATGAATAACATGCATAAGAAATCACTGGTGAATGAATAATTTTCTCGAATAATGAAAGTCAAACCCAGTACTACTAAGATATTTTAAACAAAATAGCTTATATTTATTTTCTGTTAGACTTTTTCTCCCTAATCTGTAAGCAAGTATTTTTCCCTTTTTTCACATCTTACGTGTAGATTTTCTTCATTAAACTTTTTAAATGGCCCTTATAGCGAGCTTTAGAACAATAACTCCTAAGTTAGATAACTATAGGACACCAAGTTTTAGATACCCTGACAGGTTTAATCGCTCGAGTCTTGAAGACTATGCAAAGAAGTATAAGACTTTTTGTATTGATATGGAATTCAAATCTTCTTAAGCTCATTGCTATTTTTTGTATGGTGAATGTACTAGAGTCCATATTCAATGTGACCTCCCACACAGATGATCGTCATCCCAAATCTTACACACACAATCAATACTCACTCAAACGAGTTTAGTATGTGAAGTGCAGATAATACATGAAGAAACATATATCAAGTACTCTAAATAAGTTCTAAACTAAGTCAATGAAAACTTTAGTCATCGTTCACGATCACAAAATAAAATGTTTAATTATATCACTTCAAAGCGTTAAATTATTAGAATGCTTAATTAAAAAAAAAAAAGATAATGTAAAAAATGAGATAAAAAAATTAGAATGCGTGCATGAATATGTAGACCCAATGAAATTGTAAATGTATGCACTTGAAGACCTACTACAGAAGGTACATAGACACTTTTACCTTTAAGAGCAACGTAAGCAACACCGCAATTCAATTCATTACTTTGACTGTGAGTTCACTCTTTTTAACCCAAACCGTCCTAGAAGAAAAGGTCATCTTAGTCAAACAACTCATTATTTCAGTCAAGTGACCCATTTTATTAATTAAGAACCTAACCTCAGTAGTGATGTCCAGATTGTTCCTAACCAAGAGTTTAGGGCGCATAGGTCTTGTGTGACCTAACACATCATAGTTGTAACAAGTGGGAATGAACCTATGGGCAACATTAGGTTTCAAATTTCGGACTTTAGGTTAATCATATGTTCCACAAATGATCTCTGTTCTAGGACTCCTACACCCTTAGGCTTGTTAAAAGCAGTACAAACATAGCTCTAGAAGAGGTGCACAGTATGAGAACTGGTTTCATGATAGCCTAATCTTTCCCTACTTCCAGCTAATTTGTATCATCCTAAGATGTTATCAATTTTCTTAGATCCACTAGAAGGAAAAAAAACCAAAGTTGTGCGTTAGATTTCTCAAGATCACTTACAAGAGTTTTAATCTTATTTTCTAATAACTTTTTCACAATCTTCAATACATTCAAACTTCTAACTCCTCAAGTTTTATTTCTAGTCTCTTATTTTCTAATTCAAGATCGTGCAATTTCTTAAATTCAGAGATATTTATCTTCTTCAACTTAAGTCTATCCTCAAATAGCTGGAAATAAGACTCATGTATACCCCTTTCATCATCAGATCCTCTTGTGAAGAGTCAGATTGTTCTAAGTCCTCAACTTTCTCATTCTCCTCTACAAATTCATTCTTAATTATAGAATCGAAAACCAAAAAATCCAAACCCTCCTCAGAATTGGAATTCATACTTTGGTCATTAGTGAAAATGGTGTCCATAGCTTTTCTTATAACTTGGGCACTGAGCTCTAATATGTTCAAATTTGACACTTATGACATCTAGCAGATTGAGACTTCTTCCTGGCATCCCTACTATCTCTCTTCTCTTTTTTANTTCCTTCACTATTCCAGT